AAAGATGTAATTCCAGCTCAGCAGCTAAGCAGGCCCTTTTGAGAAGTGAGTTAGGCATGATATCATATTCACTATGCTGTTCGGTTACATCACAGCCCCGGCTAAAAGGCAAGCATGTCCCCAGTGTAGGGGACTTTCTGATGTATCCCTTCTGTCTCAAAGAGCTAAAAGCCCTTATATTATTCAAATGCCTTGGGGGGGACTAAATATTTCAAATAATCCCATATGACTTTTTTTCCCTAGAAGTAATAAATGATATTTTACTCAGATAGTTACTGCATTAGTAGATACAATTGACTTTGTCAACTCAGTCTAGCAATAATAATAAAATCTTAAGAACAGCTAATTTATTATATATTTAATATATGTCAATCACTGTACCAAGGACTTTGCAGATATGGATCCACTTAATTTTCACAGCAAAACTTTGGGTTGGGTGTAATCATTCTTCCCACTAGTTTGATTCTAAAAGCATATATATTTTAATTCCTCTCTAAAACCAAATCTTCCCTGCTCCAAAACCTATGTCAACAATTCACAAATGTCCATGTCCCCAGTCTTCATCCCCAGCAAGACATGCACACACAGATAACAGGCTGTCTGTACAGCCATATGAGTTCGATAAATGCATCCCGACTAATATGTTCGTTTTTTAATGCTGTTCAAACATTCACATGGAAACAGCTCTAGCGTAAATATCCCCGAACAAATGGCTGTATATTATCCAGGAGGGAGCAGTTGGGCCGCCAGACTGGGGAAGGACTAGGCCATCTGGCTCCGGCAATCTCTCCAAAACCATCAGCTTTGTTTTCACCCCCAGACTCCAAACAACACATTTTCCACTGTGATGAGTTTACATTTTCCCAAACACAGGTCCTGATCATGCATAAAAATTCCAAACTCCTTCATTCCACTATGTTCAAGGAAATTTAAATCACCTGCATTTTTTGACATGTTACCAAAGGAGACTGAAAGCTGTTGAAATATAGCCCCTGACATAAACCTACTCTGTCCTTTCTTGTTTGTTTCCCTGGATATATGAAAGAGCCTCTTTGCTGGCCTGGTAAATTCCTTGGGTACTTATAGATATGCCCCTCCCACCCCCCAAAAAAGTGTTTATCTACCAATGAACTGAAAGAGTTGTTAATCAAATCTATGTAGCCATGGTAGAACATAATGAAACAATCAATGGGAGGAAAACAAAGTGAAATCAACAACTTTAAGTGCTAGGAACATCCAAACAAATATATAAAGAAATCTAGCTCGGAAGCAAATTTGGCAACCTTTGCATTTACTGGCCCATGCCTGCCCTCCACTACAGGGCCTTTTGCAGTGCCCTCCTCACATGGCCCACCTTTAAACACATACATACAAAGATTATGTGACTTCTGTTGGCCTTCCTCAAAAATAAATAAACACAATTTAAAAAAAAAAAAAAAACACTTTGTTTGGGGTCAGGGAACAGGAGATTGAGTCTCCCTTAAGTATTTCTTCTTGAAAACCTCACTCTTTGAGTAAGATGGTGGAGAAATGAGCTAGTTTTGTGTTTACTAAGTACTTAAAAAACAAAAAAAACAAAAAACACTGCACTGGAGGAACCATGGAACACAACCATATCTCAAATGACACAAGAAAATCTGAAGTGAGGCAGGTTAAGCCTGGGCCTCCCCAACGAGGTACAGGAGAGTTTCTACAGTTGACACTGTTTCTGGATGCATCAGCCATAAACTCCTGGATCCTGAGGGCTTTTGCATGCTCACTAATAGAATACCAAAAACAGCAATGACACAAAAACAATCTATTTTTAGGCCAGCTAAACTTGGTTTTGAACAACCCTTCCCAAAAGCAAGACATTTCTTTTTTAATCGAACAGGTTTGGCTTTTTGTTTGTTTGGGGTTTGTCTTATTTTTCAAATTTTATACCCTATGTTTTACAACGGAGGCATAAGGAGATGGGACCCCAGAGCCTTACACATTCACTCCTGATGAGGCTCTGTCATTCCTGGTAGAGTTCAAAATTAGGAAACATTCCTCCAAATGAGACACTTTAGGAAGGTGTGAAACACTGTGTCATATTCATACATCTTGATTGCTTGAGTAGGGTTTCTGCCTCATCTCAGTGCTACCGTGTCCACTCACAATGAGGAACAACCTGTGTCATTGAAGCATGCACAGCAACTTCTGCATGTTACTGGCTGAAGATTTCATCCCAATGTTACCCCCAGCTTGCCAGTCAGGATGTGACATCACATGCACAAAGGCATAGCTGTAAAGGGGTGGGGTCATGGATCAATGAAAAGAAGGTTTCTCAGTGGCCAGGTATTCCCTCCACTAGCTCTAGTGTTCTTAGAACTCATCACACTGCCAATTGTATTCTGCCCCACACTCTAAATATCAAAATCTGGAATGCATCAGAAAGTATTTCACAGAGGGGCAATGTTACCACTTAATCATTCAGCCTCTGCCAACCCTTACGTTTAGTTAAAGAGGCTGAGGTATATTTCCATAGCATCAAGGCTTTTAGAATGTTTCTATCAGACTAAGCATTTAACTAGCATAGCATATTTTTGAACTACAGGAAGGTCCACTGTTTTATTCCTGAAGCTTTTGGTATTTCTATCTGCTTTTTTTTTTTTTTTTTTTTTTTTTTTGCATACATAAGAAGGTAACCTACTTCCAAAACTTTTGCAGCATGTAATCAAAGAACAAGCAACTGGGTAATGAGCATGGATTACCTTTCAAAGTGAAAGTTATAGAAAGGGTGAAGGGTGGTTACTCAATTATTATGAAAGAAAATGGGCTCATCTTAACATGTCTGTTGTCTTAAAACTTTTGCACCAACTTAGATAATTATTAACCCTTTTTTCAGGTTGATCTTGACTAGAATACATGACTACATGTATTATAATTTAAACTTTTAGTAATATATGGCAAATGACTTTTTTTATACCTGTTATTTTTTTTAAATGCTATTGAATGTTCAAAGATAACTTCACCTGTAGATTTTTTAAAAGTTCTATGACCTTGTTACTAAGAGTATTTGATGTATTGCTTTATATTTTTAAATACCCTCCCACTGTTATCATATGAAAGAGTATGCTGATAAATTTAATTTTTGCTAGCACTGTTTGTTTAGAGAGATCACAATTGAAGATCTTGGGAGGTTTAAGTCAGATAGAAACAATCTCTTCTAACATATACTAATTCTGTGCTCCTTGGAACAGTGCTTGTAATAGTGTGGCCTACAGTTTCAGTGGTCAATGTTCCACGAACACATTGGCCTTACACTGTTGTTTGTGTGGATGCCTTTATCCTAAAAATTAAGCCCTAATAGATACAAGTGGAGTAGAGTTCATTCTTTTCCTCCAGGTCCCCATGCTTCTACTCCTCTCTGATGAAAAGGGAAAGTCAGAATATCAAAAACAATTTTTGAAAAGCAAAGTTCCACCTAGTATATTTTTGTTTTGACATCAAATTAAAAGTTACTAAAATCAAGTATTTTGTATTTCTGCTCAGCAGGGAAAAATTTAAAAATTCGGAGTTCAAGTGAAAGACGATTATACTATATAGCCATCAAATGCATTCATGAAAATAAATATGATTAAAACAATAAATGGAAATTTACTCTGAGCTGTCAACTAAGAAATGAACACAATCTTCCAGAGAGAAAAATACTTAAGGAAAATAACATGACATCAATTTTTTCAGAGCTTATTACTTTAAAAATATACTTCATACCCATAATTTCATATATTTTACTTGAGACATGATAAATATGTTCATAATAACTAACATGAGCTGTTATTAAATGCTTTCTGCTAAGATTGCAAATTCCCAACAGCTTATTTATGTGTATTTTGCACACGATAGCCTGGCAGATCTAAAGCTATTTTTAATTATGCATGCACACCCTAATTCCAAACCTTCTAAACCAGTGAAGGACATGCACCCCTCCTTGTTTTAAAGGGAATATTTTAAAATGGTAATAAAGTAAACACATTTTAACCCTGGTCCTAAACTGCTATTTGCTGTACAATAGATAACTTTTCTTTTTGTTCTGAGTTCTTTCCTCCTCTAAATAAAGCCGTCTTTTTTTTTTTTTTTTTTTTTTTTTTTTTTCCTGTTGCTTCAACTAACTAACCAGCTACTTCATTCTGAAACTATACTTTTTCTTAAAATTAAGATGGGGGGGAAATTAAAAAAAAAAAAAAAACTCCTGTGCCTCATTAAAATGTCAAGCCTCGCTCCTACCTTGGCTTATTGTATCTTTTAAAACATAACTCAACCTTAATGTATACTGCCTGACAGGGACTGTTAGCAAGCTTAAGAAAATGTTGTCCCTTTACCTTTAAGCCAGAAAGCTAGCTAGCTTTTGTTGCCTGGCTCTTAGCCAAACTTGGAGGCCAAAGCAGGAGGGTTTTTTTTTTTTTCAAAACACCTTCCAACAATTGTACGCTCCCACTTTCAACACTACTTTCCAATACCACCGCCTTAAATAAAAATAAAAATAAAAATCTGTGAAAAAGTCATTTGCAAACTTCATCCAGCTCTGCAGGCCTGGAGGAGCCAGCATTGCCCCCAGCCCCGCCCCTCCATGTTCCTGGGGCCTGGGCCTTGGATAAAGCCTGGCTAGTTTGGGTTTCACAAGTTCAGTCCATACTGCCTCACGTGGGTGGGGGTTCCTTGGCCCCTTTTTGTATCCCCTAGGTCTCCTTGACCAAGTTAGAGGAAGTCCAGTCCTTACTCCTTCATTCAGCACCCCAGGCCTTAATCATCAGGCCTGGCTTTCCCAGAGAGAGAAGTTCCAGCGATCCCCAGACAGTTGTGTTACAACAGAAAAGGTCCGGCAAGCCTGCACTGCTACCACTTCGCCAGGGCTACCTGGCTTTGAGAGTTTGCGTCCCAGACATCTCTCAGTAGTGGCACAAGCAGCTTTTGAACCGCAGCAAATTTTGTGACCCAAGAGTCGTCGCCACAGTGTGGAATTCTAAGAAACTTACTTGTTTTGTCATGGAGTCGATGAGGCGCACGTAGAAATCCTGTTCAGTCCTTATCCCTGGAGGTGGAGGGAGGAAGGAAAATTAAGAGAGGGGGTAAACCCCTGAAGGGAAAAAAATCTCCACAATATAAATATAAATAACAACAACAACAAACAAAATCTGCACACAGAGGGGGGCAAGACCAAGGGAAACTCCTGCTGTCCTGAAAAGGGAGATCCTCCCCTGAATCCAGAAAGGATCTGCGGGCCTAGTTCAAAAGCCCCCTCCCCTGAAACCAGACTCCTCCAAGCACTGGAGCTAGAAATGAGGTGGGACACCCCCCCCCCCAACCTGGCCACTCTCCCTCCCCAGGCTGGAGTCCCTTCTGCAGTCTCCTGGACCCATCAGGACCACCACCCTTCCTAGCTCCTCAGAACCGAGGAGCCCTGAGACCTAGAATTTGGGCCGAGCAAAACAGGCTTCACGAAGGGGAGAAAGAAGCCAACTGAGAGGTCTAGTTAGGACCAAGTGGCCTCCAGTCAGCCCAGGGGCTGACCAAGCCTCCCTCTGCCTCCTCAGGTGAGAAACTTCCTAGGATGAAATTTCGGAGAGGCCTGTTCACCTGGAGGGTGGCTGACGACTGAGCTTCGCTGGGGGGCTTTCGTCCACCTGGAGCTCCGTGAGCCCCCTGCCCTGACCCGGAGCCCCAGGGTGCTGGCACCGACCCGACAGGAGCCTCACCATTGCTGTAGAGGAGCTGGAGCCGGTAGTGGATCCCATTATTGGTCTTTTCGCTGTTGGCTTCCTGGTTTGCAGCAGGGCCCAAAGACACAAGAGACGAGGAGAGAGGTCTCCGTGAGAGAGTGTACCAACTTCAAGGCAAGTTTCCCCAAATGGGACCCTCCCTCCCCCAGACAGCCCGATAGCAACAGAAATTGTGGCAAACAGTTAATCCCTCCTCCACCCTTATCCCAAACTGCTCTTTCTCCCATTCCAGAAAATTCTGTGAGATATACACGGGTGGGACTCTTAGAACCTGGGGACTGCAGCCTGGGCCATCTGAGGCAAGTAAGGCATGGTCTGATAGTTAAGAGCTAGCACAGCCCAGACTCCCAGGGCTAGACTGAAGTAGGGTTCGTTTTGCCTGGACTCCAGTTCTGGGGGCTCCATGCTAACTTTCTGGAACAGGACCTTGTGTCCCAGGAGCCTGGATTCGTCCAGGACGGGAAGTGACAGGGCTGGGGTGGTGGGGCGCTCAGAGGAGTGTGAGGATGGCTTTGCAGGCACGGAGGCCGCTCCTCTAAGGCACCTGGGCCTGCTCCCTGAGCCTGGGACTACTGGGGACGGCTCTACACCCACTTACTTTTTCCTTCTCCACGAACCCCACAAAGGCAGTCCTCTCAATCTCCACGGGCTGGCCCTGTCTGTCGTAGAGGGCCAGAACGAAGTGGAAGAAGTTGGATTTCCGCAGATTAGAAGGCGGCTGCTTCTCAAAGTGAGCCCGGGCCAGACCCACCCCGCTGCGACCAAAGACGCAGAGTTAGATCGCTAAGCCAAACGTTGTCCCACACTCCCATTGTCACCCAGGACATGAGCAAGCGAACCCCCCAAACACCCACCTCCTCTGCTCCCAAAACATTCCCTGGGCGCCTTCCATGACCCATCAGGAGCATAAGCGCGGCTGAAGAACCGCACACATGCCACTCATGTTTCTGTGCTCCCGGTTCAGAGGCAGCGGGTCCTCAGAACTCAGAGGTGTGAAAGTTTTGTTTGGGTTTTGGACGCGAGATGAAACGCTACAGTCTTTACTCCACTTGAAGCGCGCTGCGTGCAGAGGAAACGTGACCGTGGGTGAGGTGAAAGGAGGTTAGAGAGAAAGTGCGCAGTTTACAACTTCGAAGGATAGGGCGTGGGAATGGGCTCCAACTGCGCCTCCAAATCTTCCAAGTAAGTGGGCAGGTGGAAACGAATGCAAGCATGCTGGGCTGCTCGCTGCAACAGCCACCCTCCAGGAAACCTCCCTAGCCTGGGCAAGCTGCCGGTGCCTGTCCTCAGCACGCTAATTTTCTATGTAAACACAAGCAAGTGGAGAAGGGTCCCAGGTTGGGACCCGCGGCTATTAGAAATGATCGATCGCCATGGGAAAGGAAACTGGGATGTTTTGTTTTATTGTTGTATGTGGTTGTTGACGTTGTTTGGTTTTGTGTTTTAATAAAAGACCTGTCTTGATAAAAGTTTTGCCATCCTGAGAAATCATTCGCACACATTTCAGAAACCCAAAGGCTGCTGGCTGAGCAGTTCGGCCAGGGACTAGAGACTGGGGCACCCGGGGGCACCGCACTGACAGCCCAAACTGCCCGACAAAACCGGGCAAAACACACACACACACAAAACACACACACACACACACACACACACACACACACACTTTCGCTTCCAGCTTAGTTACCCAATTCACTCTCGCTTCCAACCACTCCCAACCCTGTGCTCAGCGGGGATGGGAATAGTACTGGAACAGTTGCCTCTAATCGCCCCCAAAACTGGCATGATGTAATTACTCTTCCTTCTCCTACTACACCCTAGAAGTCTAATGGGGCCCAGGGCCACCAAGTTTTTCACTGCCATAAGCCCAGCTGGTGGCCAAGAATGAAAAGGATAGGGTACCATTTCTCACTTGGGACCAAGAGCCTCTGGACAGGTCTCTGGCTCTGCTTAGGGAAGTTCCTCAAGTTGGCCTCCAAGGGCATGGCCTCCAAGCCACTCAGTGTAGACCCTGGAGAGTGAGAACGCGACTGGAGGAGGCCAAGGTGACAGGGGCGGAAGAAGGCTTTTGGGAAACAAGAGAATTAAAGTTGGAAACTGCTGTTCTGCAGGCAAAGTGAGAAAAACTGAAGGCTAGAGGGGTTGGGGGTGTGATAGAGAACTAGATAGAAGTAAAAGAAGAGTCCAGGGAGAGGAATGGGGAGAGAGAACAGGAGAGACCACAAGGCGAGGGAAGAAAGCGGGAAGCTAAGAAAGGAGGAAATAAAAAGAGTGGAAACGCAAGGGTGTAAGAAGGACAAGGGAAAAAAGGAATCAACGAAGGTAGAAAAAAGAAAGGAAAGGCAGGGGAAAAGGAAAGAAACGTGAAGTGAAGGGAGAGGAAGAAAGAGGGAGAGAGAAGAAAATAAAGTAAGAAAGTAGGAAAAGGAAAAAGACAGAGAGAGAGAGAGAGAGAGAGAGAGAGAGAGAGAGAGGGAAGGAGGGAAGGAGGGAGGGAGGGAAAGGGAAAGGAAAGAGAAATAGAGGGGAAAGGAAGCGAAGGAAAGGGGAGGAAAAGGAAAAAAATATATAACCACCCAGAAAAGAAAACAAGCGGTCGGAAAAGCGCAGCTATCCAACACCGCGCTGGTGAGATGCCTCTTCTGGGTTAAAACAAAATGAAAACAATCGCAGATGAGGCTGCGGAAAGTGCCGGCAAAGCTTGGGCTCGGCTCCCTCCAGCAGCTCCGCAGCTCGCAGTTCTCTGGCCGCCTGCGCCAAGTGCTGCGCAGCCGGGGAGCGCGGAGCCCGGGCTGCGAGCGCAGCACAGCGGCAGACGCACTCGCGTGGCTGGGCCCCGGGTAGCCGCGCCGCCGCCTCCGGGCTCTCCCGCTAGCCCGCGGCCTCTCCGCCACGGTCCCCAAGCGGTACCCACCTCTGCGCCGCTGTGTTGGCGTCCAGCACCCCGGCGCCCTGCATCCACGTCCGCACCGCGTTCATGCCGCTGCCCAGCGGCTCTTCCTTCATACTGCTTCCACTCCGTTGGATGCTTTCCTGGATCCCAAACATGAAAACAACCTTTTCTTGTGGAAAATCTCCTCCCCTTTGAAAATATTGAAAAAAAAAAAAAAAAGGGAAGAAAAACGCCAACCACAGATTTTTTTTTTTTTTTTTTGAGTCGATGAAACTCGCGCTACATCAAGGCGGTGGGCCGAAAAGCAAAATTTTTTTAAAATGTAAACCCTTGCTCAAAACTGAGCGATAACAAGAGGGGGGAGGTGAGGAAAAAAAGAAAGGGAAAATCCAACGAAAAGACCAAAATTAAGAAAAAAATAGAGATGTATGCTTTGCTGTTGGGGGTTGTTTGGTTGGTTGATTTTGAGTTTGGGTGCTTTTTTTCCTTTTTTTTTTTTTTTTTTTTTTTTTTGCTTTTTTTTTTTTTTTTTTTTTTTTCTTTTTGTAGTAATCACAGGCCGTTGGAGAACAGGAGGGGCTGGAGTTTCCTTTTGTAGAGGTACCTTCACTTGAAGAAGCAGGAAGAAAAAAAACCACCCTGATGACAATTCAAGAAACAATAGATATGACTCTCGAAGCCGGCTTGGCTACTTGAAGTGTCATTTTCCACAATCAGGCAAGTTTTTTTTTCCTCTGTCTCTCTCTCTCTTTTTTTTTTTTTTTTTTTTTTTTCCTCCTCTCTGAACCAAAGATGTTTCTTTCCTTTCCGTGCGTGTAGATGAGGACGCTGGTTGCTGTAGACAGAAACACCGGAGAGGGTGGGGGGAAGGGGAGAGAGAGGGAAAGAGGAAGGGGGGGGAGGGAAAGAGATAGAAAGAGAGAGGAGAGGGAGAAAGAGAGGGGTGGACCCTGCTGGATGGAGATTCTGTTTTCTCTTTGCTAAAATAGAAGTGATTTGCAGGCTCTCCCAGTGGAATCCAGTTTGACTCTCCCCAGAGCTAAACACAGGCACACTAACCCCAAAGGGAAAGAGGCGGGGCCCTCACAATATGACCACGCCCCTTCTTTGCATAACGTCATCCTTCCGCCTTGCCGCAGCCAATCGCAGCTCCTGAGCTGGCTTGTTCACAGAGCCAGGCCACACTCCCTCATTAACATCCTTCTCCCGGTGTTGCAGGGGAGTCGCCAAAGTTCCCGGCAAAGTGGCGAGCAAGGGAGCTCTGAGCACCAGCTTCTAGGCTGGGAAGGAGCAGGGACGTGAGGAACGAGAAAGGGGGCTGAGGGAAGGAGATGGAAATATCCTTCTCAGGGATCTGGGCTGAGAGGGTCTGCACCATGGCAGTCTGCGTCTTCCTGGGCAGACACCTGGCCCCTTGCTTCGCTGTCCGGGGACTCCGGTGGCAAAAGTGGAGGAAAAAGGACTGACATGGCAGAAAAAACAGGATGAGCATCCCAGGTGCCCAGCTCTTCACTCTGAAGCAATGGCGGGATGGAAATTTGTGTGTGCGAGATTGAGACTTGAGGGCCTGCGGAAGGACACTGTCTCCGTGTGAGGAGCGGTAGAGGAGACCAAAGCCCCAACCAGTGAGGCTTTAGTAGATCTCCAAGGAGTGGTGGATCCAGACTCTGTCCTCAGCCTGCCTCTGAAATGACTCTGGTTCTGGTGCTAACCCAGATGCTGTTGCTGCTGGACACTGTCCTTACTCGCTCAGTTCTCTCCAGCACCGCCCCCCCCCCACCCCAGATGCGCGAATGGTAGAATGAATGGGTCGCTGGGGCCGTGCCAGGGTGTGACTCTAAATATCCTCAGATTCAATCCCCAACTCCCTCTCCTGCTCCGCGAAGTAGTTTTATTTTTCTTTATCAACGCAGCAAGGATGTTTCCTTCTCTCACTAGTTGGTTATTGGGCACATAGGGTTCTTTCTGTTAAAAGGGAAAGCAGCTTGAGCCAACTTCAGTCACAACCACAAGGAGAGAGACTAGGAAATAGAGAAGAGAGGTGGGGTGGGGGAGGAAACGGAATCAGTGGAAGAATACAAGGGGAGGAAAGGAAGGAAAGAAAGAAGGAAGTGAAGGAGGAAGGACGGGTAACTTGCCTTCTACCTCAGGCCTTTTGGTCTTTGTGTTGTGGCTGAAGAGGAAATCGCTAGACAGTTATGGGTTATGTGCCTACCCCATTATTATTTTTTTTCTTAAGGTTGCAATGTCAAATAAGCTTATGGTAAAGTGTTACATTACCCTCAGAGTACATCCCTGGGTGTACTCTGCTAAGGAGTCCTTGGGGGAAATTTGTTGCCTGAAATCCAGGTTCCCTTTCTGCTGGCCTTCCCTTGGACATTTGATTTAGAAAATGTACTGGGGTCAGTGATGGGAAAGTACACATGTCTCTGTTGAGTAAACGAATTAAGACAACAAGGGTTATGCTTTGTGGATCTGGCAGAGGAGGAAAGTGAAGCCCTTTCTGATAAAAGAGTGAGTTTATCCCAAGCCTACAGGTACACACATAGTCACTGTTCTCAGACCCAACTTTATCTCTCATCTAGCTCTCAGAGTATTTATCAAGACCACACATGTGCTAGGATGTTTCTTTCTGGTACTATAATTAATGCATCTTCTCCAATAGATTCCTGCAGAGATCATCTGACCCCTCAGGATCCCCATGGCATCTGCCAGAGTTTCTGGAACAAAATTGGTGGTGGTGGTGTGTGTGTGTGTGTGTGTGTGTGTAAAAAGATGGGAAGAGTTACTTGGTTGTAGACACCCAGATCTTCTTCAGCTCTCTAGAATTTAAAGGCACAATTGATTCTGGGCCTATTAAACTTTTTCCAAAGCTGCAAACCAAGGGTGCTGTTAACTTATGGAGTCCACAGAACCACTCCCTTCCCCAAGCTGGGGGAAGGGATGCTACTTCAAGGTAGGGGCATCAGGAAGCCCTAGCTTAAGACTCCGGCCTTCCACTCTAACTGCTCAAGTCTCCACTTTTCTCTTTAGTAATCAGACCAAAGCATTTAAAGTTTTCTGTTGTATGTAGTAGAGTATATGCCCTAGTGATGGGGAACACAGAGTAGGGGAAAGATCGTTGCCTGGAAAAGAAGAAATGCAGTCATGCTAAGGTCTGTGATTAGCAGGATTCACAGAGAACATAGACTTCTGGAGGTCATCCACAATGGACTCTGGTGTCCATATGTACATGAAACCCACTATCCCCAAAGCGGAACTGGCAAATAGAATGGCATCTTTAGCAGCCAAGTTATCCAGGAGGCAACTATGAAGGAAGTGATTTTTATATCCATCCACTAAGCCAGAGAAGAAGAATGCAAAGGGAGGGAAGCAAGAGTCTTTGGATAACAGTAATTCCCTTTAGCTGGGACAGGCAGCAGGCACCTCACCTGGGGTGGTGGGCATATTTTACTTGCAATAAGCACAATGCATTTGTAGGTGTTTATCTGGGTGTTTGCGCTTTTAACTTGGCTTTTGCACTCAGTAATAAATGTCTAAGAAGTAGGAAGCTAGAGAGAAAGTGGAAAAGAGAGGATGACAGAAAACTGAGAATGACACCCAGGACCACAGTGTAATAGACCCTGTGTGTGTGTGTGTGTGTGTGTGTGTGTGTGTGTGTGTGTGATGGAGAGGCATATGTGAACATTCAGATTCATAGGCCTCAATCATAGCTGCAGAGTCAGAGCCTCTGGCATTTGTACCTATGAATCTCTCTATATAAAGACAGTTAGCAAGCTTTCACTGCTGTCTCTCATCTCTGAGAGGAAAGGAGAGAGTGAAAAGGTGAGACAGGAAAGACTTTGAATGAGGAGAGAACACAGCCAGTTTATCAGAAGGAGTCACTGCAGAGGAATGTTTCTTCTGTTGAACTTCTGGCAGTTTTTTTGTTTTGTTTTTTGTTTGTTTGTTTTTGTTTTGTTTTGTTTTTCAGTCCTCTTCAGTATAGTCAAGGTCATGGACAGGCCCTCAGAGTGTCTACACTGCAAGGCAGGGCTGCCCAGTTTTTGGGGTCCTCCTCAGGTGCTGGAGGAAGTTGAGGCCAGGTCACAAGAAGTTCCTCCCTCCCCCTGCACTCTTCAAGCAAGACGTCTCACACCCTGTCAGTCCCAAACTTCTGCAAACTCAGATTCTCTCTCTTGGGACACATCAAATGACACAATAATTTCTAGAGGCTCGGGTAGAAATATGCTCCCCTGCTCGACCTTCAGTAAAAAGAAAGACCCCTTTAATTCAATGGAACTGGGGCCATAGGGACCGTCCCAGGGAAAGGGGGATGGCTTTTGCTAGTCTGCCCCCAGGAGGCCAGGCTTGGGACTTGTTCCGAAGTCGACTCACACTCGGTCCTCTTCTTAAGGGCCCCCGCCCCCAGAGCCAACAGTCCAGGGGAAATAACCCCTCACCTTCCTTAGCTTCCTTGACAGAGGCAGTTTCGATTCCAGTAGGAGGGCAGGTGCTTCTTTCAGTGCAGGGGGGAACGGGAAGTGGGGAAACAAGCGACAAAGCAGCGAGGCTCAAAGGCCCTCTGCCTGCTGCATACTCCTGGGGACCACTAAGCATATGATGTATGATAGGGACTGGCAGAGATGAGAGAGTTTGTGGGAGGTGGGTCGGGGACGTTATCCAGCAGAGTTGGTAGAAAGCTCGAACCCTGAGAAAGCGAGGACCTATGGGGCGCAGCCAGGCGAGGGAGAGGCGGATGCGGGTGGAGGAGGCCGAGCGCTGGGACTCACTCTTCTACTAAACCCTGGCCTGTCCCCGGGTGGCTTTTATCCACCGCTACGGGGAGCGTGAGAGCTGCAGTCCAGAACGCCACCGGAAATCCGGACTCTGATCCGGGCTTGCGACCTCTCAGCGCTCCGGAAAAGTCCCCCCTAGCTCATCCAGTCCCTGCCTCTGGGATCACCCCTTTCTTCTTGGTACCAACTAGGAAACTGAGGGAGAAAATGATAGCCACTCACAGGAGGTAGAAGCCAAATAAAGAATCTCCTAGACTCTAATAGGACCAGGAATGGCGGGGTTCCTCGAAAATGTCCCCTCCCTGACCAATCTGCCCCTCTCGGGTTTCCCCACCCCCACCTCGGGATCGTCCCAGACAATAAATAGATCCCATTTGTTGCTGGGTTTACAGGGCATGAGATTACTCAATTTCCACCACAGGCCACTATCATTGTACAGGCGAGGAAACTGAGGGTTTGTGAGGGAAGTGGAGGGAAAAACCTGGTGTCAACGCCCGCCCCCCGCCAAGCGCCCCGGGTACAAGGCTAATAAAGTTACTAGGTCACTGTCTCCTGGCTGCCCCTGATAATAACCTTGGAGCCACCAGGCAGAGGCATAGACCATCTGCCCACTACCTTCCAAACTCCCAAACTCAAACTCAGTAGTGCTTTAGGTCCCGGGTGCGTATAGCCGGTGAGGGAGGGAGGGAGGGAGGGAGGGAGGGAGGGAGGGAGGGAGGGAGGGAGGGAGGGAGGGAGGGAGGGAGGGAGCAGGGAAGGAGGGAGAGGGAGGGAGGGAGGCAGGAAGAGGGAGAGCGGACCCGTGTCACCCTGAGGGCAAACCGCACAGGAGCGAGAAAAGAGTTTTCGGGAAAATTGTAACAAATGTGAATAGTTGAAAAACATATTTGGGCTATATGTGTGCCGATGCTCATCTCACTGTCCCAGACAGAGCTCCCCAGGGAAGACCAACACCAGCCCTGGCTGTGTCACATCGTCCCGCCCTGTCCCAGCTGAGGTCGAAGCTCAGGCAAGCTTGCCTAAAGAAAACAGCTTAAGTACAGCACTTCAAGGCGATGTCCTAGATGTCCATTACAGGACAAAAGTCTGGGCACCTGCCTGAGCTTTCATTTGGGGGAAAGATGATTCTGTTTTGGCCTGAGCACAGGTACCTAAAACCCCAGGTCATTATGAGTTGAGAGAAAAGAGCCGGTGATGTTCTGGAAAAAGAACTCTTCTAGTCTGCTGCTGCCTTGGAAACTGGTACCCCAACTTGTGAATTTCCCCTAT